CTTCCAATCAAGACATAAACGGAAGGCAAGGTTACAGAGCGACACCTGCCAAAAGCCATCCGGCATGCTATGAAATTTCAAACTCTATCTCCATTCATATGGCAGATGCCAAATTTATTCTCAAACAGATGCTTTGTTCATTTTATCAGGCTCTATATTTGTAAGATCAAACACTACGGATGGGAGTTCAACTAAAAAAGACCTTCACATTCTGTCTGATTCATCGAGGCTATCGAGGAAGTGAATTTAAAAGTTATTTGAGTGACTTGGATTGTATGTCATGTGATCTAGCGATCGGTGAACGCTCACCTCTGATTCCCCCACACTAGTAGCAACAGCTGGGCTTCCACAGTTTAAGTAGCCTCCCAGCACACTGACTCGCAACTCTTCACACTATAAACACATTGAAAGCTCATGTAAGGGATTCCCGTCGGCTTGACTCATAAAAGAAGTCTGCTGATATTAAACTGCCTGCTATTGTATAAAATTCAGTGCAATACCTTTTCAGAAATATACACTGCATGTTTTGGAAGCAAAACAAGTAGAGAAGTAAAAAAAATGTTCAGATTTCTCTCTTAAATTACAGTGCAACTTCAATGTTGTGGGTGAAATTCACCATGTCTTAACTTAAATGATCATAAATAAACATTCAATGTAATAAATAACGGGTGAATTTAACATAATAATAATAATAATAATAATAATAATAATAATAATAATAATGCACCCATTAATTTATTTGATTTTCGGCTTAGTCCCTTTATTAATCTAGGGTCGACCACAAACTTATCCAACATTTGTTTTACGCAGCAGATGCCCTTCCAGTCGAACGCATTACTGGTATCATTTTAAAACATTGAAAGGTAATGCAGAATAGCTTGGCATATTGTTTTATAGTACATCAAAGATAAATATAGCAGAGTGAGTTGCTGAATGCAGAACAGGTTTGAATTGGGTGGGTGAAAAGGTTATGTTTCATACAGCAGGTCATTTATACATGTACTGTAAAAAATGAAATATAGCTTCCATATAGCTTCTGTACCCACCCATTTCCATCCTAAAAATGTGCAGTAGGATGCCTGAAAGCAGCTGGGAATGACAGACTATGCCAGGATTCACAGTGTCAGTGTACAGGCATTTCAGTGGAGCAGTAAAGACCCTCATAATCATAACAATGGCCAAAAGTATGAGCAACAGTGCTGCTCAATCTATTTCACAAACTGTTATGTCCCCAAAAGTACAGATAAACATATTGCCAAGTACACCTCATAATAAGACAGCATGTCCACAGAGGATTTCTATGACAGTGTGAAAAATGTCTTTATAACAGTAGAATCATATCTAGTTTTATACTTTATCTTTCACTGGAAAGAGAACCACAAGAGGATTTCTAGAGTTCTGTGATAAGGGGCTCTGTGTTTTCAGTTAATAAGATCTCAGAGAACGTCTGTACTCTCTGTTGATAGATGAAACACAACGTCTTTGCCAAGTGTTGTGAGCAGCAGAACAGGTAAGCTGGTCAGAGTTAAAGAGATAGTTCACATAAAAATTTGAATGATCTCATGATCATATAATCTCACTCATGTGGTTTTAGGCTTTTATGAGTTTCTTTCTTTCATTGAACACAAAAGAAGATGAAGATGGTTGTTGGCACCCATTGACTTACAAAATCAATGAGTGCCAGCTACCAGCATTTTTCAAAATATCTTATATATTTGTGTGAAAAAAGAATGAAGAAAGGTTTTACCAAGTGAAGGAGGAGTAAGGTAATGATGGAATTTTAGTTTTCGGGTGAACTATCCCTTTTAGCTTATTTAGATGAGGGGAAAAACACATCTGGGGCCTGTTTCAGAAAGGAGGTTAACTGAAAACTCAGAGTATTTTAACCCTGAAATGAGAGAAACTCTGGGTTTTCTGTTTCAAAATGGCAGGTTTGTTAAACTCGAGAAAGCAGGGTAAGTCAAGCCTGTTTCTGAAAGAGAGGTAACTTTAATTCAGAGTCAGTTACTGTGGTAACTTACTCTGTGAATCTAACCTGGTCAGAAGCAGGTTTTATTCTCTAAACTCAGAGTTTCTGTCTGTCTCCTCCCCTTTTTTAAAGATGAAGCGGTATTTCTCGCCATAGCCTTGCGTTTCCACCCACCTATTTTAATGCTCATTTTGGATACGTGCATAAAAACGATTGATTGAAACATCATGATGCACATAACTTTTTTAAATATGCATAAAAAACGCGCATAACTGAGTAGGATAAACTTTTATTCGATAGAAAATGTGCGCATAAACTACGATGGAAACACTTTTACTGAACAAATTACAATATGTACATTAAAAAAAGATAATGATCATATGATAATGAAAATGTGTGTAAATGGACAAACCAGCAGGCTGGGCACACTGTAACATGTCTTAAATATTGTTTTAGTCATTCTAAAATGCCTTAACTGTTTCAGTATTAGTGTATATTATTAATTACCTCCGAACGTCTGGTGCGTGTCAAGAGTCTCTGCGTCTCATGGCTTCAGACGCCCCCACGTGTTCATTGTGTTCGAGGCGCAAGTACATTAATTAGGCTAAATAAAGAATTAATTGACGCAGCTTCTTCTACCACAGTAAATTCTGTTTTTACTGTTGATATTTGGTGCCAGTTTAATCACGAAGTGACTATTTTTTTCTCTTTGACTCGTTGGATGGAATTTTATTCGCATCTTTTATGCAATATTCCAGTTTTGCACATAAATTTATGTAATATATTTGGATGGAAACATAGCTATTGCCTACATTTTAGTCACACACAGAAGAACTGTACTAGAATGGCTTATGCTTTTTTAATAAATAATTAAATTGAATTCACCTTCGATATGCACTGTAACTAGATTAATGGGATTATTATTCTTTCTAAAAATTATTTTTAGTAATGCTTACCTTCTAAATGTTATATTAACCTCTATCACTTGATCAATAAAAAAGGCAGACACACAAGTGCACTGTCAAATCATTTAAAACTAATAAATGTATAAAAGAAAGTTTAGAAAAAAATATATAAACGTCACAAATTACATTACTTATTTTATTATACTTAAATATTTAAATACTTAAAAAGTTAAATTAGGCATTAACTTGAGCAGCTGTTTTCCTACGCTGTCTCTTCTTCACTGATGGTTGCTTCTTTTCAAATATATACACTCATAATTGCTATAACTTTGCATGAGAACATCAAGTTCAGCTGGAGAAAGAAATGGTGATCTCTTTTATAAGATATTGCCATAGTCACTCGTAATGTCTGCGCTCCATTGATAATGCCTTTTTAAAGTCACGGTGTGCGCGCTTAACTCTGAGTTGGTCTACTCGAAGTTGATTGACCCAACTCAGATCAGCTGTTCTGAAACCGAAAACTCTGAGTTTTTAATCTCTCGGTAAATCAACTCAGAGTTCAAGTTTAAACTCTGAGTTGTTTGAACCTCCTTACTGAAACAGGCCCCTGGTGTTCTTGAAATGTGTTTAAACACTTCAGCATATTCTAAAATGACAGCACTTGAACTGTATCATTATAATGACTGAATTTGAATGTTCTGTTTTTAAACTGTTCCAATGGTCTGGACTGATTTACAATTTGACAGTCACTACGATTAAAACTATGCCTTACTATTAACACAACATGCACCATAACTCTTGTCTCAGTGCACACAAAACAAATGCTGTTTAAACAACAACAGCTGCCTAAGGAGATGTTTCCAACACACAGCAATGAAGCATGCAGTAAAAGGTTGAGAAATATCACAAAACAATATTATAAAACGAATTAATCTAACTGAATAATTGGATAATTCCCAAATATAAAGAAAGTTGAAAAAATCTATGAGTAACGGGAAAGAAATGAATAAAAAATCCAAATATGTGCTTTTTCATGGGAGAGGGTGTGGGTAAACGCAAGGTAAGAAGTGTAAATGTGGCTGATAAGGACCCTTTAACACCAGGAAAACCTTTGAAAGTAGTTTTGTTCAAGATAACAAGATAACAGTAAGGGTAATTAGATGCAATTACCCCAAAGTACCACATACTTATCACATGTGAGATCTAAACTTAGTGAGGATAAACTACAGGGATCTGTGTGAACTGTGTTAAATACAGCAAAAATTCAGCACCGAATACAAAGACTATTCAAGACAGTGAGTCTCCTGGAGGGACGCTCCATATGCTGTAATTAAAAAAAGACACTGGGATGCCAAAATTACTTTTGCTGGGCTAAATTGGTGTCTGCCTACATTCAACATAATTATGACCTTTGTAAGATAAAGCACTCCGTCAACTGAGTCTCTCAGCAAAAACAACATACACAAGTAAAAATGAAGACAACTGAGATGAGACATATTCTACCTTACAAATTAGAAGGACAAATCAGGGTTGCTATCAATGTTACAGGAACTAGTTATTTTACAGTAATTCAGAAAATTATAGCTGATTATAAAAAGTATAAACAAAGTTTATTTTTAGGTAAACGATTATGGGACATTATTTTTACCCATATTTTGACATTTTAGTTTTACACAAGTTATTTCAAATGTTTTAATATTTTTACTATGCTATATAAAATCTTTTTTATATATATTTAATTTGATGCAGACACCAAAATAGGACGTTTTGTGTTTGACCCAAGTATATTTCAGGTGTCTTTCTAAAACTAAAACTGACATCAGTCACAAAATACTGCAAAATACAATGCATAAAACTTACTTAATGAAAAAGTATTTATAAGCAAAAGTCAGTACGAAAGTTGTACTATGTAAATGAATAGTTTAGTTTTTTCAATAGTTTTGTGACAATACTGTTCATAAACAAGTAGCTCCTCCAGTAACATACTGTAATTAATCACTAGCTATTTGTAAGCAGTGCACGTTGAACATACAATATCCACAAACAAAGCATGCAGACAGCGTCCATAACGGCGTGGTTCAAACTTGCACTAAAGTTTTAAAAAGCAGATTTCAGAAATCACTTACCGTGGACTACGAGAAGGGTGTTTGAGAAACACCGTCCATTACTCGACCTTCAGAAGAAACGTCCCGCTGCTCACCGCTTCCAAACGCGGCTGAAGTTCACGCAGATCCGAGCCGTCTTTGCTTCAATCCTCTATAAAAGTAGGACAAACTCCCGTTGCTAAAGGTTAAAACACGGATTCAAAACACATGTCTGCGTCCATCCTCCTGGAAGAGACTGCTGGAAACTGCCTTGAATCCCGCTGGAGAGTAGCGCTTCTCCCTGCCCCCTCACACCGGACCGCCGCTGGCAGGAGCGTGAGAGTGAGCGAGTCTCTGTTTCGGTCCCGACCGCTGATCTGGAGCGACAAGCTGAAGGGCTACGGGAGAGGGGCCGCGTGCGGGGGAGCGCGACGGACGATACGCTCAAGTTCATCAAACAACTTCTATTGCAATTTTTATTGAATGTTGAACTGTAAACAGACCATGGGAAGTATGTTTATTAAACATTGTAATGCTGACGTGATAATATGTCGACCATTTTTTAAATAGCCAAAAATGCATAGTTTGGGTCATTGGCAGCTTTAATTCTTTTATGCCAAAAAAAGGATATATTAAGTAAAGGTCATGTCCCATGAAGATATTTTGTACATTTCCTATTGTAAATATATTTAAAAAAATACATTGTTTGCTATGTAGCCTATGCACTTTATATAGACAACGATTTCCTCAGTATTTTAATTTCTGTTTGTTTTTAAACTCTGCAGATTCCAGATTTTCAAATAGTTACTCGACCAAATATTGTCTTTACAATACACCAGTGGAAAGCTTATTTGTTCATCTTGCAGGTGTTATAAATGTAAATAAAAAAGACACACAACTAAATAGTGAAACATCAGAAGACTATAGAACAAAAAAAAAAAATCTTATGCATGTTGAAAACGGATTTAAAGTTAATTTTTTTGTTGTACGTTAATTATTTAATCATGAAAATATTGTTGAGCATCAGAGCATGGCATTTCACAAGCATACCAGTAACAAAAATCTTTTTGGGTTCACATGTGCTGTTCCTCAACATTATTTTCTCTTTGTATTATTCAAAGTACAGTAGGTAATATTTAACACTTTGAAGATTCTTCTCATTTTGGGGGTCATGCTTATGCTACACTGTAAAATATCCAACTCGAAAAAATAGTTGAAATTACTTGTTTTATTTATTTATTTATTTATTGTTATTAACATGTTTACTTGACCTATTTAAATTCTCTTCATTAAGTTAAAAATATTAGTTTTGTGAGCAAAACTTTGCAAGTTCACCTAAAAAAGCTTCTGCTAACTTGTTACTTAAGTTGAGTTAATCTCAGACCTCCTCACTAGAAAAAATAAAAATTACAGTATTTCTAACCCTATCAACAATTATAAAAAAAGAAACACCAATAGTAACATTAATGTCAACATAATAATAATGCTAGTATAATTTGAAATTATTATTCATTTGTAATTTATGCTTTTGCACATGCAGAAAGACTATTAATGAGAATTTCCATCTCACATTTACCTAGTTCGCTCTACAAAACGAAACGCTTAGCGCATATGAATGTTATTTTTGTATTTAACTGTTATGTATATATTTGGAAGTTTTTCCCTAACAACATTCAAATGAAAATTTGAATGCCTAAAAAGATCAAATAATAAATCGAAATGCATTCTCAAATGAGAAATCATTTGTATTTGATATTTAACTTTTATGAGCAACTCCTGTAATAATTAAATGACAAATCAAATGCTCAAAGTATAATTCAGATGGAGTAAACAGACATCTTATTCGCACAGTCTTTTTTTTCCCTGTGAAGCATTACATTAGTATTTTTCCCATTTGTCCTGCCATGTTCTTGTTTACTGTTATTGTCGTTTTGCCTCCTGTCCTGTTTCTAATTCCGTGTCTAATAAATGTTTTGTTAGCATTTGTCTCTGTTTTATTTATTTATTATTTCAGTTGAACTTTGTTGTGACAAAGTATTACTTCTTAGTATCAATTTCCATAGAAGGTTTTTAGTTTTTTAGGTGATGTTTTTAAAAGTTGAGTAAAAAAGCAAAAGCGAAAGGAAAAAAGTATAATTTATTTATTTATTTATTTATTTTTTTGCACTGGCTTAAATTTTTTTTACAGTGTATGTGTTTTAATTAAAGTTAATTAATTGCTAATAAAATAATGATAGTAATCCCACTGTAGGAGTGCAGTCATTCAATTCATAAACTGCTCCTGAACTTCATCATGACATAATTGGTGTAATGGAAAAAAAATGGACATAGTGAGATTTCTGTTCTCACAGAGTCTGAATTTTTATAACAAAGGTTTCACATTGAAACAATATATACTCTAGTCTGAACATCAAAAACCTATGCTAAAAGGGTTCCACATATTAAAAACTGATAATAACAGTCAATATGTGACGAGAAAGAACTAAGTTAAAGTGTAATAACTTGCTCCAGTCCTACAAGACAACAATCTCCACCCTTATTGACAATCCTACATAAAGTTTATTGGTTTGAGCAGAATAGTCTTTTATAAGTTTTCTGGCCTAGAGAGTCTTTGAAATATGACTCATTATTGTTTGAGGTACAGAAACACAAAGAGCACAGGCGAGGAGTTTGTTATATTGTGAGTAAGTACAACCGGTTCTGTCTATTGACTACGCTATAGGCTTCTTCTTAGAGGCAAAACGTTGATTTTTATTACTTGACATTAATTTGCCTGATATTTCACTTACTCTGAAACATTATATTTCAGAGAACATTGTCAAATTAAGAGTTTTATTGTGACAACAGGACTAATCAACAATAGACTTTGCATGCAAATACACTTCCATGTAAGTTGTCAATTTTGTAAATTTGTGTAGTAAATACAGATTGTACATACATATATTTGTAGGGGGTTTAGTGGAGGTCTCGGTAGGACAACAAAAATGTCCTATCATGTATTTATTGATTATAACCTGACTTCAATTCACTAAACTATTACTTAAAGCAGTAATACAACTATATGCACTCCAAGAGTACAGCAGATCAAATCATGTGGATAACACAAAATATGTTTAGGTATAGGTAAACTGTAGGTAAACATTTTTTTTTTACTATACATTACCTACCAAAAGTCTTGGCACCTAAGGGCAGTTTTAGGAACAACAAATAATAATTTGACTTAGTTGATCATTTGGTATCAGAAGTGGCTTACATTATAAACAAAGGCCTCTAGATTACGCTTATTTTACCAAAATGAAATATGATCAAGCCTTGATTTTTAATGATTTAATTAGGGCAGTAAGGTCTGACTTTGCTTAGACCAAAGTCTTGCCAGTTAACAGAATAATGTACAGTAGAAAATATACAGCAGTGCAGTGGAATAAGAACATGCAGTGGAATAAGAATGAATATTGTGCATGACTCCCATAAGCTTGGAGGACTGCATCCATTCATCTCTGCAATGACTCAAATAACTCATTAATAAAGTCATCTGGAATGGCAAAGAAACTGTTCTTGCAGGACTCTCAGAGTTCATCAAGATTCTTTGGATTTATCTTCAATGCCTCCTCCTTCATCTTCCCCAAACATGCACAATAATATTCAGGTCTGGTGACTGAGCTGGCCAATCCTGGAGCAAGTTGACCTTCTTTGCTTTTAGGAACTTTGATGTGGAGGCTTAAGTATGAGAAAGAGTGCTATCCTATCCTGCTGAAGAATTTGCCCTCTCCTGTGGTTTGTAATGTAATGTAATGTAGGCAGCACAAATGTCTTGATCTCTTGCATACCCCCATACTGAATGTACCCCAAATCATGATTTTTTCTTCACCAAACTTGACTGATTTCTGTGAGAATCTTCGGTCCATGCGGGTTCCAATAGATCTTCTGCAGTATTTGTCAGGTAGTGTGTGCCTATACGGTCTTTGTCATACATTATACAAATCTGAAAAAAAAAAAAAAAAGGCATTGGAGATTAAAAGTATATTAATTCAAATCTCTAACATTTAATAAATTTGTTAAAATCACATGTTTAAATGTAAATTATAGAAAACATAATTTGAATTTAAAGGTATTATAGTTTATTTATTTATTATTATAGGTATATTTATATGCTCTTAAAATCAGATTATTACATAAAAACAATACAACTGTACGTTGCAACACTGCCTGTATACGTTCCTGGAGATCGTGAATTATGTAGCCAGAAGTACGTATGGCTGCATTTTATTTTTAAAACAAATGCTATGGGGCAGTATCAATTTGGGTTTAGGGAAGGAGGAGGGTGGGTCAGTTGATAGGTCAGTCAGTCAGTCAGTCAGTCAACAACGGCCTCTAGCGGGTGTACGTGAGAACAGCAGGTGCGAATGACACTTGCAAGAGAAATTTGAGATTTCAAAAAGTGTACACAGCGCCCTCTCATGAATTCACGAAAACAAAAGCTGCAGAAAACGTACCTGGGATGTATTTCCGGGTCTCGTACGTTTTTAGAATGAGCTTGGGTTGGTACTGTATGTCAGTGCTTTTTCCATTTTACTTACTTTACATTTTCTATTTTCATCATTATACAAGTTTAGAATCATCTTTTAGATGTTTACTTTTTAATACTTCCAATAGATATTTAACGGACCAAGGACGTTTTCACTATATTTTCTATAATCATTTTTCTACTGGGAAAGTGTTATTTTATTTGGTTTGACTGGAATAAACAGTCAAACCAGTTTTGGTTTTGACAGTTTTCATTTAAAAAAAAACAATTTAAGGACAACATTATTAGTTCCCTTGAGATTTTTTTGTTTTATTAATTGTCTACAGAAAAAAAAACACTGTTATCCAATAACATACCTAATTAACTTGCCTAGTTAACATAATAAAGTTAAGCGTTTAAATTGCACTTTAAGCTGAACACTGGTCTCTTGTAAAATAACTAGAAAAATATTTTGCATGGCCGTCATGGAAAAGACCATTACCCGTTTGCAGTTTTATATAGTGTAGCTGTAGTTCTGGTGTGGAGCCAGGATTGCTATAAACCAAAATAAAGGCTCTTAGGTTGTATGAGTTCATTAAACTAAAACATCATGGGGCTCAATTAGACATTCACTTTCAGAACGACATAGCAAGCCTGAAGGGATTCATTTGCATAATTCAAAACCTGTTAAATCAGCGGAGAGCACTGCAGCATAAACAATCTCACATATACTGTAAACGCTCATACTGTACGGCCTCACATAGTCACATAGTCAAGCTCATGTCTTTGTCCACTTATAGCTTCCCCATAACTATTTGATATAAGACAAAACTAGATCAATAAAAATCTATTTATCTCATTTGACTGTTTGAGGCTCAGTTAATTGTTGGATTAAAATTTTGTTTTTCATGAGATACAAAGATTTCACATTTAAAAA